CCCGGTCCGGGAAGATCCCACATGCCGCGGAGCGGCTGGGCCCACGAGCCATGGCCGCTGGGCCTGCGCGTCCGGAGCCGGAGCCTGTGCTCCGCAATGCGAGAGGCCACAACAGTGAGAGGCCCGCGTACCGCAAAGAAAAAAAAAGACAGAGTGGTTGTCAGAGGCCAGGGGGAGGAGGGGATGGGAAGAGTTCTAGAGATCAGTTGCATAACAATGTGAATGTACTTAATACTACTGAATGGTTAAGATGCTAAATTTTTTGCTACGGGCATTTTACAACAATTAAAAATCAGGAAAATAGAAATTGACATAGTACAGGTCCATAACCTCTTAGCCACAATTCTGAAATCCAAAAAGCTCTGGAAACCAAAAATTCTGGATTACATTCTGTTGTCCAGACTCCACTGGGATGCTACAGAATAAACAGTATGTGCGTCACATTTACCTTCTAAAAATTGGAAAAACTCTGAATGCTGAAACACACCTGGCCTCCGAAGGTTTCAGATAAAGGACTGCTGACCTAAATTCTGATAATATCCATTTTTCCTCTTTAGATGAGAGCAGATAGATATTGATTGTGGACAACTGATCCATCTATTCACTAACTAATGATGCATTTTATTACTGTGGTTCTCCTGGCTGGTCCCTGCTTTGGAAAAAAAAAAATTGACAACCTGAGTAAAATACTTAGCAGGAAGCTCTTTGTTTTGTTTTCCTGCTTCCTTTTACCAACTTCAGGTTTCATTTTAAGATGCTGCCTGGTCCTGGGTGTTGCCAGCCACACACTGGCACCCGGGAAAGCCGGGCAGGCCAGGGTCGGCCCAGGTGCACAGTGATGATTCAGAACTGCTTACCAGATCACACCTGGGCACGCTGGACACAAACTGGGCCCCTTGGCAGCCTAGGATAAATCCGGCTAAATTCAGGAGGACACATACCACAGAGAGCAGCACAAAAAGGTTCACCTGAAACAGCAAGAAAAGAGGCAGTTAGAAAAAAGACCATGGCTAAATTCAGAGATAGTTTTGTCTGAGTAAAAAAACTCATATTCTGTCCCTAGAGGAAACATTAAAAAAAAGTCAGAACGATGTTTTTAATGTACAAACTTTTTTTTTTCATTTTTTAGAATGTTTTAAATTGTGCTGAGGAATGTCCCTGACCCTCAAGTCTTCTCAGTTTCCAGTCCCTGTTTTTCTTGCTCTTTGCAAATGAGGGAGCTCTGTTAGCTGTACACTACCTTAAGCCGTGGCTATTTCCTCCTTGAGCCATTGTTATTTTTTTCCGACTTTTACAGGATCATGGTAACTAGACAAATGGAGAATTCTAGAATATAAGTGGAACCCAGGAAAATCAAGGAGCTCAGAGCCATTACCAGCCAGAAATCACAGTATGTGTGAAAATGAAGATGAGTCTTTTTTCAGTTCCAAACAGTGTTGGTACTAAAGAAAAGGTGTGCAGTGATCTTCCATGTACTTGTATCCAAAGTTTACAAATATTACCCTAAATGATTAAGAATTGACAGAAATCAACCAAGAAGCCAGTATTTACTTAGTGCAAATTAGAGACTACAAAGGCTTTTCAACCTGAGAACTCTGATTATTGTCAAAATCAAACCTTAATGTAAATATAAAAGATTGGAGCTAATGATTATCAGTGTTAGAACCAAGCATCATTTCAGGTAGCTGATATGTCAGAATTGGTTGGCAAATGAGTTCACAAGTGAACTCTACTACAGAAAGCTCATCCTTTATTGCTGGTATTCCAAGAAGCTTGAAAGTATCTCCCCAGACCCAGGTTATGAGTCAATATTTGGTATCACATGATGTCACTTTTCTTAAGAGGAATTCTTCCTTCCTCTCCAAGAGGAGCTTATGAATTATAAATACCGAGTGACTCCAGGAATCCAGACCCTTGCTGGACTTGACTGAAGACTGACCAATGAACAAGGCGACTCATTTTTCACTGAGGAATCTGGCTTCTGCTTCTCTCCTTTTTTCTTAATTAGTAAAAGGACTATGTGCCCTGTCATCAAATCTTGGGGAAAAAGCTGGAAGCAGCTACTGTGTTTCTGTTTCCCAGGCTAGATTCTTCCAGGTCTGTAGTACTTGACTTGCACTGTGCCCCTTGCAACAGCCCCCTCTTGCACTGCCAAAGCTTTTCGGAAAATGAGAATGCATAATTGGGAAAAGACAGGACATGGTCTTCTAACATGGGCTTCTTTTATGCCCTGGCAGTTGCTACTCAAAGAGACCTAATACATCTGGAATCTTCACACCCAGCAATACAATTATTGTTACTATGGGGAAGTCTTGAACTTGACTTTAGAAATTTTTTTTAATGCAATATCAGATGCCTTAAAAAGAAAACATGGTTATAATCCTTATGCCTAGCAGCCCATCACTAATCTTCATAACTGAAAATTAGCAGCATCAGATATAGAGTGGGTGAGAGTCCATTACCCAACACTGGACCCCAAATCTCTCCATTAAAATCTTAAATCCAGCTCATCAAGAGACACCATTAAGAAATCAATACAGGATTTCCCTGGTGGCGCAGTGGTTAAGAATCTGCCTGCCAATGCAGGGGACACAGGTTCGAGCCCTGGTCCGGGAAGATCCCACACGCCGTGGAGCAACTAAGCCGTGCACCTCAACTACTGAGCCTGTGTTCTAGAGCCCGCGAGCCACAACTACTGAAGCCCATGCGCTTAGAGCCTGTGCTCCGCAACGAGAAGCCACCACAATGAGAAGCCCGCGTGCTGCAACGAAGAGTAGCCCCTGCTCGCTGCAACTAGAGAAAGCCCACGCACAGCAGCGAAGACCCAACGCAGCCAAAAATAAAATAAATATATAAATAAATAAATAAATAAATATATATATATATATATATATGAGCTTTTTTTAAAAAAGAAAGGGTAGTTGCCTGTTTTGGGGAGGAGGTGTGGAGTGAGGGGACTGACTGGGAAGAGATAAGGGAATTTTATGGAGTGATAATAATGTTCTATATCTTGTTTTGGATATTGGCTACATGGGTGTATCCAACTGCTAAAACTTAGCTAACTGAACACTTCTGATCTGGGATTTATATAAATTATATTTAATATATATTTTTTAAATAAGGAAGAAAATCCTGAGTCCAGCTGCCAAGACAGGAGTGTGAGATCATATAGTGAATATGATCTACTTCTAAAATGTCAGAACAACAAAAACAAGATGAGAGAAGGCCCCAGGGATTCACTGTCTGGTGGGCTTGGCTTGTCTCCTACACTGGAGGGGCTGCTAATGAGAAGTTAAAGCCACATCACCAGAATGCCGCCCTGCAAACCCCAGAATGAGGACATGGACCAAGGCACACAGGCTGTGTACAAAATAGCCATGCACTGTTCCCCAAATTTATCCCTAAATTTGGCTTTTTTATTACTATTATTAAAACTCTGGCCAAACATTGGCCAAATGGTCATCTAATTACAGTAAGTCCCCTACATACAAATGAGTTCCGTTCGGAGAGCGTGTTGGTAAGTCCAATTTGTTCGTAAGTCCAGCAGAGTTAGCCTAGGTACCCAACTAACACAATCAGCTGTATGATACTGTACTGTAATACGTTTATAATACTTTTCAGACAAATAATACATAAAAAACCAACCAACACAAAAAATAAAGAAAACATTTTTAATCTTACAGTACAGTACCTTGAAAAGTACAGTACAACAGAGGCATACAGGGGCTGGCGTCAAGTGAACAGGCAAGAAGAGGTACTGACTGGAGGAGGGAGAGGAGGTGGGAGACGGTAGAGCTGAAGGATCGTCAGCAATAGGAGACGGAGGGCAAGCTGCCATTTCACTCATGCCTGAAGTGCATGTTCGCGTCTTTCAAAGTTCTCAACTTGAAGGTTCGTAGGTAGGGGACTTACCATACTGTACGGGACTTACCGTACTCTAGTATAGACCACTGTGGTATATATCAGACACGGCAAATATTAGGATACCAAGCATATCACTTTCAGAGGTTGGATCAGGCTCAACCGTACAAAATATTGGATGTATAAGGGATTCAGGATATACAGGGACCTTCAAAATGGACCCCTCTGGCTTTCACCTAGTTATAATGGTATAACATCCAGGACTCAAATATCCATCCGAACCATCACCAGATGGCATCCCCTTAAACAGAAGACAGTGAAAAATCAGCTACTAGTGAAGAACATCATAGTCACAAAGCCCACACAGCTATACCTGGAAAAGGGAAGAATTTCTTATACTTTCTTCTATTGTCATCATTCTTGCCTTTAAAAAAATCATTGCAGGTGATTTGAGTTTCTCTTTGTGGAAGACACCAGAATTTGGGATCAGGCTTTCCCCTTGCTTGCTGTGATATCTTAGACAACCTCCATGAGACTCACTTTTCTCACCTGTTAAAAAGGTCTATTGTCCTACTGGGAGAAAATGATGCAACTGACAAGGGCTTAATTTCCAAAATAAACAAGTAGCTCATACAACTCAACAACAACAACAAAATAACCCAGTTGAAAAATGGGCAGAAGACCTAAATTGACATTTCTTCAAAGAACATATACAGATGGCCAACATATGCATGAAAAGATGCTCAACATTGCTAATTATTAGAGAAATGCAAATCAAAACTACAATGAGGTACCACCTCACACCGGTCAGAATGGCCATCATCAAAAAGTCTACAAACAATAAATGCTAGAGAGGGTGTGGAGAAAAGGGAATCCTCCTACATTGTCAGTGGGAATGTAAATTGGTGCAGCCACTATGGAAAACAGCATGGAGGTTCTTCAAAAAACTAAAAACAGAGTTGCCATATGATCCAGCAATGTCACTCCTGGGCATATTCTGGACAAAACTATAAATCGAAAAGATACACGCATCCCTATGTTCATAGCATCACTATTTACAATAGCCAAGACATGGAAGCAATCTAAATGTCCATGGACAGATGAGTGGATAAAGAAGATGTGGTACATATATACAATGGAATATTACTCAGCCATAAAGAAGAATGAAATAGTGCCATTTGCAGCAACATGGATAACCTAGAGATTACCATAAGTCAGAAAGAGAAAGACAAATACCATATGATATCACTTATCTGTAGAATCTAAAATATGACACAGGGCTTCCCTGGTGGCTCAGTGGTTAAGAATCCGCCTGCCCATGCAGGGGGCACAGGTTTGAGCCCTGGTCCAGGAAGATCCCACATGCCACGGAGCAACTAAACCCACGCACCACAACTACTGAGCCTGTGCTCTAGAGACCATGAGCCATGAGTACTGAGCCCACATGCCACAATTACTGAAGCCTGCACGCCTAGAGCCCGTGCTCCGCAACAAGAGAAGCCACCGCAATGAGAAGCCCGCGCACTGCAATGAAGAGTAGTCCCCACTCCCCGCAACTAGAGAAAGCCTGCAAGCAGCAACGAAGACCCAACGCAGTCAAAGATAAATAAATAAATTTATTTTTAAAAAATAAAATAAACTGAAATAAAATATGACACAAATGAACTTACCTACGAAACAGAAACAGACTCACAGACATAGAGAACAGAATTGTGGCTTCCCAGGGAGAGCAAGGGGGAGGGAGAGATGGATTGGGAATTTGGGATTAGCAGATGTAAACTCAATATTATACATAGAATGGATAAACAATAAGGCCCTACTGTATAGCACAGGGAACTGTATTCAATATCGTATGATAAACCATAATGGAAAAGAATATGAAAAAGAATGTGTATATATGTATAACTCAGTCACTTTGCTGTACAGCAGAAATTAACACAACATTGTAAATCAACTATACTTCAACAAAATAGGTTAAAAAAAAAGGTCTATCATCCTAGGTACCTCCCAAGATTAATAAGAGACTCACACAAAATGATGTATATGAAAATCTTCTGTATCTCGCAAAATGCTAGGCAACCAGTTTTACTATTACTAATAATAGGCA